GTGGATGGGATTGGTTTAAAATAAATTTCTGCTCTTATAGTGTGCGAAATGCAAGAGCCTCAGTGTTGTGGACTAGTGAGACTTCCTCCGCTTTGGTATTTACAACCTCCCCTTGTAGTTAAAGTGGCTGTCATTGCTTCGAACAATCGCGTACACATGCATCAAGTGGAATGGAAAATGAGGAAATAAAAGGTCATTGGTAGGTGGTAATAGAGGTGTTGATGAAAAAGGACTGTTGGGCTCACTGTTCAACGAGTTACTCCCAAATGCTCCTCATTTTTGGGTTAGGTCATTCAAAATCAGTGAGTCTTGCTACTCACACCTCACCGGTACCGACATCCACTGTCCCAAGGCGCAAATTAGCCTGGTTGTTTCTCACACCCATCTCTTTCGCCACTGCTGCTGTGCATTCCTGTAGCAAGTGATTTTGGACGGAGACAATGGCTAACGAAACTTGATGTTTCACCATCTATATCTCTTCATTCTCTCTCCATCACAGGCACCAAATCGATCCAATTTAGTGCCAACAATTCCTCTTACCTATTCATCTCTTCACAGTTCAGTCGTACCACCACATCATATCGCTCAGGTACGTCCTTTGGCCTCGTCCATGCGGGTAGAAGATTTTTCATATTGTTTTTAGAAAAGCAATAGCTAGCGCGTTTGGGGAATGCGTGCTGTCGCATCTTTCGCATGCAAACTCTTTTGTTCATGCAATTTTTGTCATTCTCTATACGGCAGTTTACGTTACAGCAAAGTCAGCCTTACCGTCCCAATGGAGGATATGTGGTCAGCAGTTCCTACAACAAAGTCAGTGATTCCACATTTTTGACCTCTGGTCAGGTTCCGCAGTCTTCTCAGTGCCCCTTCTCAGTTAGTAATTACCGTATTCCTTGTTGGATGAAAGCCCAACATAACCTGCCGTCTCTTCTAAGTACAATCAATTCTTTTCTCTAGCTTCCATGGCGACAAAGTGCTAGAACAAACTATCGAGGTGAGAGTCCAAATATGACGTGGTCAGGAGCTGCTCCAAACATTTCTTACCGGTCACATGAACATTTACCATGTCGTCTTGGTTCTTCTCCTTTGTGGAACTCGACACAAATTGCGGTTCAAGAGAACACTCAAACTTCATCCAAAGCTGTGCCTCAAACACGTTCTGCGAATCTGAACTTTCGAAGGTTTGGCTTCAGTTCGAGTCTTCCGCATGTACAAAGGCCACCAACACACTCCACATTCTCTCTTCAACAACATGATCAGCACCATCAGTTTTGCTGCCAACGAGGTCAACAATCAAATCCCTTTGTTGCTTTGACGGGAATGCTGTCTCAGGAAATGCAGCATTCCCCAAATAAGGCTACTGTGAACTTCGAAACAGGTCGTACGTACGACATACCTCGTAAAGCACAAAGCAGAGGTAAGAAGTGATTGAAACCACTCCCAATGTTACTTTACGCGGTAATTTTTGTGGATTTGTCGCTTCATCTTGGATGCATAATAACTTCCATGTTTGCGTTGCACTCTAAGCCCATTTAGCCTTAAAACTCATTTCAAAAGACAATTGGTTAAACTTGCACAACGGCATGACTAGGTTTAATTAAGTGCTGTCGATTTCTAAGGAATGATTTTGTCTTGGCATTTCATCCTCATTGTCAGCTCTTCTTACTCAAATCCTTCGGAGGGAATGACATGGTCAATGCGCATCATTGAGACTTGTGCGAGAGTTGGGTTGCATGAAGGCGCTAGTTGGGACCACAACAACAGACCTCCAATCACAACTCGATGGCGAATGCTGGAGGAGGAGGAGGGGGACGCTAGACGTGGTTTTGTCAGTTGGCCCATAAACACTGGGCAGAGGCTGAATCTTTGGTGTGTGGGTGCTGATCAGCCGGTGGAGAAGCTTTTTTTATCATCTCCAAATTTAATATGAATAGCATTAGAAAAGACGGCGAGAAATGAGTTCAGTTAATCATAAAATTGAACCCAGAGTGCAATTCTTTAAAAAATGAACGAGCTACAACCATTGCAAAGTCATAAAATTAAGTACATCAAAGGCTGAATTAAGATAGTAGTAAATTACGCCAACTACTATTTTGATCAGCTTCTCTTCCAAAAAGGGTTATATAAACAGAAGGTACAGTGCTGTGGTGGAGAGACCTTTCGGACCACTGTGTCGCCTCTATCTTTATTTAGTTAACTTTGTTGGACTTCAAAACGGAGTTGCCACCGCTAAAATGTGCAAGCTCGCATCGTCAACAGTCGTGGAGCCGGTGAGAACTGTAGCCCCGCAAGCCAAAAACGGCATTAAAATTAGCGTATCAGTAAATATAAGTAACGTATTTCGAAATTTGACCTGCCCACGTTATCACTGGATTTTGGTTGAGGGTCGTTGTGGACAGGAATAGCTCAAATGGCAGTATGGAGGGGGGAAGGAGAAGAGGGGTGAGAGTGGGTGGGGCGGGAATAAAGATTGTACTCAAGGGAAGTCAAAGAAAAAGTAATAATCAATGTCAGTATTCTAGTAATAATAATAACTAATGTCTTACCAAGGCTGAGAATGTGGCTCTGCTAGGGACTCAAGTTTTGCCGATTAGCAAAGACAAAATTTAATCACTCTGAATCCATCGTCTTAGCAGTTTGAACGTTGAAGGTGATTTGGACTGAAAGCAAATTTCACTTTGTTTTTACCCTTAAGTGACAATGAAAATACTGCTTGTGAAGAATGTTTAGTGTGAGACGAGGACAGTGCATTTCAGTGCATTTTACAACGCCGTTGCCATTGCTGAAGCCAACCGCTTTCCTTTTGATAAAATGTTATGCCGAGATGTGAGGTACAATATTTCACAGAATTCATCTGTCAGGCCAAGGACCGCACAAGTGATTATCATGTCTTATCAGCCTTTCTGCGGTTTCGCGTTTTCCACTGCACTAACTCTATATTCAGCATCTCATATGGCATTTTGCCGTTTAAATACGTATATAAAGCTGGCATCGGTAATTTACTCGTTTGTAATAATGACAGCAGAAGAGGAGATGCTAAATTACCATCTGCACACGAAAACATGTACTGCTGTAGAATTGACCTGTCCAAGGCTATTTGTAATGTAGAAGAAAAAATCGCTCCTCAACAATTAAGTCTTAAAGAACGTCTTTTTTGTTCCGCTTCAGCCCAAGGTCCGTCCAGACGAGAACGGACAATTTACACACCAGATCAGCTCGAGGCCATGGAAGAGTTGTTTAGGGAGAACAAATATCCTGACGTAGGCATGCGTGAGGACCTGGCAGCCCGACTTCGTCTCAGCGAATCGAGAATTCAGGTGTGGTTTAAAAACCGTCGAGCCAAGCTTCGAAACATGGAACGGCATAGGAGGAGAGAATGAAGACAAAGTATCTTTCGCTTTGCACGCGCATTTACTCTCACTGACGTCTTCTAATGCAAGTGGTAAGCTGCAGAGGTAAGAAAGTGCCTCGGGATTCGGCACAGCTCGGCTGCAGCTACCTCAGTGATTCCATTATCAGCGTTCAACAAGTTTTCTACGAAGGATTTGGAAGCAACCTTAGCTGAAAATAGTTGTCAATACCAGCCTTCATCATTTTGTCAACCATGAGAAAATGTCACATAAAAGAAAATAGAATTCTGACAAAAAATAATACGCCTTACTAGGAGGTGGAAGTGATGTCCCCGTCCTCCTCCTTCCCCATGATGTCCTCCGTACGTCAGTAGTAGTGTTTCACTTGACGTTTTTTTTGTTAATGCAATTTTCCGACCACTTAGCATTGCTTGCCTTCACCTCCTCTTTGCGCAATGCATTTGTTAAACTACACTAAATACTGCGCGTTTGGGCGACCAACAAACAATGGCAATACAAACGGATAAGTATGCCGGTGAATGAAGACGACCTTTCTTATCCTCCTCCGGTGTTTGAGGCGCTGTCTCAAGTTTCTCTGTCATTCCTATTCATAAGTGACGCATTACCTCTTTTAACGAGATATTTTGTGAACAGCAGTCTGTATAATGCTCTTTCGGGGATTGTTTTAAAGTTTATTTGCAGGAAGACCATATAAATGAAAATTCAGAGCAAAAAATACACTACAGCAATTAACAATGGTCTTCTTCTTCCCTCCTTAACCGCTCACAATAGCAAAGCTTATTATAAATGCTTGTCCTCGTTGCTCCTTGGAAGCACTGCTTTGTCAATGCAGATTTATGCACTTCAGAGGAAAAATGAATGCCTCTTCTTCTGCGTCACTTGCGTTTTAGCGGGACAGGACGCCACCAATGGTAGTTAGCGCTACATCAAGCGAATGGTGCTACAGGGTCACTCTTACTTGGTAAAACATAAGTTTTAGGTTTCCTCTTCCATGTAATCAGTGTATGAGTTCTTGCTTACCCTTCCAGCCATTTCTCGTCATGGGATGCATCAGAAATGGTTCGCAATAGTACAGTTCCTTGAAGCATTAAGCGAGAAACAAGGGAGGAAGACGGAGATCGAATGCCAGCACCGTGTCGTGTGATTTGGAGATGAACGACTGGACCACTCACAACGCCAAAGGTGGAAGAGGGGACAAATGAGAGTGATGGTGGAATGC